CCCCGGCGCGTGCATGTCGAGGCACGCCGGGTAGTTCGCCTCATGGAGGAGGTGAGCTTCCCACTCGTGGAGAGAGTGGCGGCCGAAGCCGTCGGCTGCCGCCGCATCGCCGGGGAACCGTTCACCCATCGGGGGTGTGCGTGCGCGCGGTGGCTATACGGGGTGAGACGGGGAGAGAGGGTGTCGGTGGCGAGAGAAGTGGGGCTACGGGCGGGTGATTCTACCGGTGAGGGAGGGGCGGCTTTTATAGCGGCCCGGGGCGGCAACGTGTGTGTACGTGTGGCTGGATGGGTCACGTCGCAGCACCGCGCCGCCGTGAGGAATCAATGGAAGGCTGATTGGCGACAGCCTTGGCATTGATTCCCCGTGGGAAACCGAGGCGATGAGGACAACGAGGCGCGGGGGTCGCTGACTCGACGGGCCCGCCATTCTTTCGCGTCAAAATGATTGCCCCGGCGCCCCCGGGTGCCCCGAGCATGCCGGGTTCGGCCTGGGTCCGCCGGCGCTAGTTTCGGGCCTAACCGGCGAAAAATGGGCTCCTGGGGGCGCGATTGGGCCGTTTTTTGGGCCACCGGCGCCAAAAAAGGGGCCTGGGGGGGCTGTTGGGGGCGCGGTTGGAGATGCTCTTAGTCACATGTTTGCAAGCTTCTTGTGATGTTACATTACCAAGAGGGCCCAGAGATATCTCTCTGTCACACAGAGCGACAAATCCCAGTCTTGATCCATGCAACCCAACAGACACCTTCGAAGATACATGTAGAGCATCTTTATGATTACCCAGTTATGAAGTGACGTTTGATAGCACACAAGGCATTCTTCCGGTATCCGGAAGTGGCATGATCTCATGGTCTAAGAAACTGATACTCGACATGAAGAAAGCTATGGCAAATAACTAAACGATCAGATGCTAAGCTTACGGTTGGGTTTGTCCATCACCATGGTTAGGAAACCATAACCATCTTTAGTCAACGAGCTAGTCTGGTAGATGCTTACTAGGGACACGGTGTAGTTTATGTAATCACACATGTATTTAGGTTTCCGGTCAATATAATTCTAGCATGAATAATAACATGCATAGGAAACATGATAATAACCATTTTATTATCGCCTCTAGGG